CCAGAGCAACACAGCTAGTAAGGGTCTGAGGCCAGGTTTGAACTCAAGAAGATGAGTCTTCCTGACTCCAGAACCAGTATTCTATCCACTAAAGGTAATGTAAATTGCAGAAATGCATCCAGTCCTCCTTGGCATTCCCACATGGCCTTTGCCAAGCATTAGTTGTGTGATTTTGGGCAATGCATTCAAGCTTTCCCTCCTGGGTATCCCTTAAGACTGCTTTGAGGCTGACAGGAGATAAGAGGAGCAGCAGAACATGCTTTAAGAGCTGCAAAGAGCTTTAGTGAAGGAAAGGCTGTAATTATTCTTCATCGTTTTCTATTAGTTAGTGGTGGTTGTGGGTGAGCAGTGTCCCCATTCTCCCTGCCATGCCTACAGCACAGGGTTGCTGGGCAGGAGAAATCCCAAGGAAGATTTGAAAGGGATTGGGAAGGAAAATGAGTCCGTGTTGAACTTCAATCCCTCTCAGGTTCCTTCCAACTCCAAATCCTTGATTTCTAGTCTAGAACTCCCATTCTTAGGGGGTTTGAAATCACCAAAGGACTCTTTTTTCTCAACAACCCATATGAAAAAAGGGGAGGAAGTGTTATTTTCCCCATGTGATGGATGAATAAACTGAGACTCTGAGAGACTAATTGATTATCCTATGAGCATACAGCTAGGAAGTGTCCAAGCTGGGATTCAAACACTGATCTACTCTTTAAATACCAGCGTACTGTCACCTTTTCCAGACTAGTTTGGAATGGATCCCACAGTGCATGAGAGTAAACCAATGCTTTCCTATCCCTAAGAGTGGAGAGGCTCTCAGAATGGTCCCAGAAATAAACAGAGGAGCCCAGAAACCTGGCTGTATTTTTCTTGGTCTCCTTTTATAATTCAATTTTATTTTTCAGTAGATATTTTGCACCAATCATTTCTGAATGTGTCTTGAAAAGAAAATTAACCTGAAGGGGAAAAAGCTCAGCAAAACTCAGGAATTTAAAGGATTTGGGAAGGAAATGGCCAGCATCTAAAGGATGAAGATGATTTGGTGACTTGCCCAGGGATACCCTGTTTGCTAGTCAGTATCAGGGGCAGGATTTGGACCTCAGTCCCCCTGATTCTAAATTCATCTCTCTAGTCACCACCCTCCACTATCTGTGCAGGAGGGGAGAAGGGTTGGAAATCCACAAGATCAGATTTGACTTGCCATGTGAGTGGGATCCTCATTTCTCTCTGAATTTCAAGGGAAAATGCAGTCCTTTTATTGATTCCTACTGGTAAGAGGACATGCTAAATCCCAGACTGGTTTCCTCTTACCTCTTTCTTCTTGGGTCAGGAGAATGTAGTGAGACCCTATTTCCTTCTCTTTTCCTTTCCTCTTCCAGTGCTCCAGTCTTCCAGTGGAAGTGTGGTTATGATGTTTCTATGGCTTTACAGTAGCATTGAAGCTTTAATTCTTTGTCTTTTTGAGGACATACTCTTATGGCTTTCCCATTTTGGGTGCCCATATTCCCTTGGATCTCTCTATGTCCAGTGTGACTCATTTTAGGTAGTAGGACACTGAGGAAGAAAAAGGGAGGGTGACTTATGATTCTCAGCTCAAGGAGGAAAAGGAAGCCCTGGGAGCAGAGAAGAGCCCCAGGGCAAACCTATATTAAGACAAGGTTAGGCTCTGCAAACCCAACCACTGACCATAAGGATGTCAGAGGATCTCCCAAATTGCCATGACCCTCACACATTATTATTTCTTCTTTTTTGTTTTTGAACATCAAAATATCAACAAATACATGTATCTCAATATGCAAAGAAGAACAGAAAAGAGGAAGGTATATGAATCTCGGAAATTCTACTGAGCCTAATTTGGTGTTTTTAGGTATATATATTAAGTTTACCACAATGGGAAATCACTTCCCTTACTTTCTTATGTCCCCTTCTAGAATTGCTTTTCCCCCTTAATTTCTCCTTGTTTGTCTTTCCTTCATTTTTCCTTTTTTTTTTTGCCTGATTGTCAGTTGCCCCAAAGCCATCCTCCTATAAACAGATTGTGTATAAAGAAACCAAGCAAAAGTGTTGGCCAGAGCTGAAAATGTCTGTCTCATGGCATCTGTAGTCTATGACCTCCCCATCAGAAGGTGGGAATCAGGCTTCACCTTCAGTCTTCTTCTGGAAGGATGACTCATTGCACTGATCAGCTTTCTGGAGTCATTCCAGTTTGTTTTCATTGACAATACTCCCAGGCACATCATTAGCTCTTCTCCAGGTTCTGTTTACTTCACTCAGAAAGAGAAGCAAGTGAATGTGGCAAGAGGGTGTTTAGGAAACCCAAGGAAATCATCCACTTGGGTGAACATTCTATATGTGACCAACACTTACTGAAAAAAATTGGAAAGTAGCCAGAGAGAAATCAAGCTTAGCCCAATATCTCACACCATATACTACAAGAAGCTCCATGTGCCATGGTGGGAGTTGGAAACTGAAAAAGGAACCCAGGAAATGGAAGGCTCTGTCAAGGGCTGGGGTTTGGTTCCTCAGGGCAATTTTATCATGGAGGAGAGAGGAGAGATGTGTGTGTAGTGGCATGACAAGAGTGCTGAGGGGGCAGTGATAAACTTGAGAGAGCAGCAGAGACTGAGGAAACCAATGCAAAATGAAATAGGAAGGAGAGTTGTGGTCAGCATTGCTTTGAAGGATTATTCAGCATGGTCTTCACACTGCTTTGATACTGTAACTCCCTAGATGTCAGGGTTGTAGTCTTAGAAGGAGAAGGGTCATTAGCCGTCTTGTCCAACACCAACTGTGGCATGGAGAGAGGAGCCTTGCTCCAGGGGATCCCTGTAGTGAGAGGCAGATCCTGGATCTGGTCCCAGCTCTACTGCTTCAAGATATGGACAGGAAAGTTACATCTCAAACGCATTTCAGGAAAATTGAAGGAGATGCCTGTCCTGCCCCACCACTCTTTAGCCCATTAAATAGTAATATTTTATTCATACCCATCTTCCCCACACATCTTGTTTTCTCTCTCTCTCTCTCTCTCTCTTTTTAAAAATTTCATTCTCTCTCCTGGGTTTCACTGGTAATGTAAAGAAAGGCTGATGATTATCTAATGGATTTATTTTTTACCCATTTACTTTGCTAACTTTATCGTTTTAATTAAATTTTAGTTGAATCGTCAGGGTTATCTAAGTAGAATATCATGTGATCTGTAAAAAGTGATAATTGTATTTTATCTTTACTTAAGCTTATTGCCTCAATATACAGTGCTGTTACTTTTTTTTTGAGTGAATCTTTTTTTAAATTGATTTACTTTTAATTTTCAACATTCACTTCCATAAGCTTTTGAGTTTTAAATTTTCTCTCCTTCCCTTCCCACCTGTCTCCCCAAGATGGCATGCATTTTGATATAGGCTCTACATACACATTCCCATTAAACATATTTTCACTTGTTTTCTCTTTTTTTAGCATGAATTTCATTTCCATTGGAAATGAGGAATGTGACAGTATATATGATAGTTGTATACTTAAAAATGTCATGGTATAATACATACACTCCTCCTGAGAAAGTCTCAGATTGTTTCCTCTCTGATGTCGGGACTGTCCCATGATTTTGTCCAACCCTGCCTGAAGTCAGAAGGCCTCAGATTGAAACCTGAAACCGTCACTTTCTGGTTATTGAAATTTGGAAAAGCCATTTCAGAATGCTGGTCTATTCAAGAAACGATCTGATTAGAGTGTTGGCCAGGGGCACTGGGAGGTTAAAGATCACAGAGCTAGGAAGTTTCAGAGATGGGCCTTGAACCCAGGTCTTCCAGACTTCCAGCTTAGGACTCCACCCACTTTATGTCAAGTCTCATCAATAAACTAGATATAAGAATGCCAACCTCGTGTATGTAATAAGTTTGTTGTGAAGATTATGTGAGACAATCAGTGTCAAAATCTTTTGTATCCTTAAAGTGGCGCAGAGTGAAATGAGCAGAAGCAGGAGAACATTGTACACAGTGACAGCCACATGGTGCAATGACTGACTTTGACAGACTTGGTTCCTCTCAGCAATGCAAGGATCTAAGACAACTCCAAAAGACTCATGACAGAAATTGCTATCCACCCCCAGAAAAAGAGTAATAGAGTCTGAATGCAGATGGAAGCATTTTATTTGCTTGCCTTTCCTTTGTTGTTTTGTTTTATCCCTTCATTTTCATTGTTCCTAACATTGGTTCTGATTGTTCTCTACATCATGACTAACGGAAAATGTGCTTTACATGAATGTATATGGAGAGCCTGTATCAGATTGTATACCATTTTGGGGGGAATAAGTGGGAGCGGGAGAAAATTTAAAACTCAAAAACTTATGCAAGTGAATGTTGAGAACTAAAAGTAAATTAATTAATTATGAAAAAAATAGAAGCAAAAAAAAAAAAAGAAAGTGACACATATGTAAGGTGTTAAAATCATCACACAATAAAGCAGATGAAGGGATGGGCCAAGACGAGGAGTCCTAGTTTCATGGACCTGCTCATGGCCACCATTTGCACAAAACTTGTTGAGAAGTGCCCTTGAAGGAACTGAGGTATTTCCTCTATATGGATCATTTTCTATGAGTATAAAAATGTGAGGTCAACAAACTTGAGGACATTTCCAGGATCTGCTTCTGACTACTAATGTGACCTTGGACAAGTCACTTCTATTTGGGCCACAATTTCTTTAGCTGGAAAAAGTGTTCAACTAAACCACCTAAATTTCCCTCTAAATTACCTCTAAATTTACAATCCTTAGATTTAGGCAGTTATGATATCAAAGAAGTATGAAGGTCATGTTGAATACTTCTTCATATCAATGGTCAATAAAACTCTCTTTCTTATTAGTTTTTGCATGTTTCATCTGTCTTTTCTGCTAGCTCAAGTTCACCACTTCCCCCTTAGCACCTTGCCACCCCACCACATGCATAATTCTCATCTATCTATCTTCCCTCCTCTCTCACCCATGATGAAGCTGCAATGGGGGTGAAAACCTCAGTTCTTGACACTAGCCTTACATTTCCTGGGTTCCCTTTTTAGTTTCTATCTCCTACCATGACATCAGCTCTCCACAGGAAATTCCACTCCTTTTAGGTTCTTTCTTTCCCTCTGGGTCCTCCCAGAAACCCCTATAAAAAGAGGGTCCACACCTGAGACAGAGGCACAGACCTGCAAGGTCTCCCAGCTAGTGCTCTGCTCCTCCAAGTCTTCCCTCCTCTCAGGATCATGAAGGTCTCTGTGGTTGCCTTCTCCATGCTCATGGTCATGGCCTTCAGCTCTCTGGCATCCTCTGCACCAAGTAAGTGCTCCTTCTCTTTCCCTCTGTGGCTGTGTCTAGGTTGTGGTCATAAGTTAGATAGAATCCTGAGAGGAGATGAGGTTAGATACATAGGTATCTGTGAGTGTGGGGTGGGGAAGGATTAAAAGGGAGAGGCAGGAGCAGAAGCAGAGAGGATGTCTATACCTTTTGAACCTGAAGGCATCAAAATGCCCTTTGCAATACCTAAGGGGCAAATGTACAATGGAGACAGGACAAGAGAGCAGAAAGCACACAGGACTGGATTCTGTGTCTGGCTAAGTTCTCCTGGCTCTGCCACTAATTACCCAAGTGATCTCCAGCAAGTGGCTTCTTCAGCAAAGGCAGAAATTGGATGGGCAGATCTCTGACATCCCTTCTAGCTCCCACACTTTAATTTTCCTCAAAATATCTCCTATGGGGACAGGAACAGCAGGCCTGTTCGTCCTCCAGGCCCAATGAAAATCACACTTGGTACTGGAGGGAAGCAGGGTTAGGGAGAGAGAAGCCATCTCATCCCCAGTGTGCCTAATCCTGAGTTTGTCCATGGGTTTGCATCAGCAGCTGAGGAAGGTAAGGTGTGAACATAAGACCTTACTAATCTCATGCCTCCTCTTTCTTTGCAGTGGGCTCTGACCCTCCCACCTCCTGCTGCTTCTCCTATATCAGCCAACAGATCCCCAGAAAATTTGTGACAGACTATTATGAGACCAGCAGCCTGTGTTCCCAGCCAGCTGTGGTGTGAGTATCTCTCTTGAGGGGATCCAGGGAGAGAGAATGGCAAGGAGAAATGGGGCCATTTGGCAACTTGGTGAAATACATGAATCAAGGCACTCAGGGGAAATCCTGGTTACAAGGGAAAGAAGTCCCATAAGTGGTTCCCAGGCAAGATTGGGTTCTCTATGGAGCAAGGTGGGAGCTGCTCACCCAAGGGGGAGGGAGAAACAGAAGCAACATGGATTATATGCCAAGGTGAGGCTTCCTAAGATAATAGTCCCAGTACAGGTCTCTAGAGAGAAGCAGAATGACTCAGAAGGGCCTGAGAGATGTTGCTAGAGATGAATATTGTCCCTTAAGGCCCTGCAGAAATGTGCAGGAATTGGTCAGTGCTGGACATAGGGGGAGCACAGGCAACCATCTCTCCATCTGTGACCTCTCATCCCTCCTCCTCTCCCTCCCCAGGTTCCAGACCAAAAGAGGCCGGCAGGTGTGTGCCAACCCCAGTGATGACTGGGTTCAGAGCTATGTGGAAGACCTGGAGCTGAACTGAGGGGCTCAGGGGCCTTGGATGGTGACTCTTAAAGGGAAATGGACCAAGC